GAGAGGAGCGCGGAGGCAGCGGTGATCCCCGAACAGTTACAGTGGGCGGGGGAGTGAAAGGGAGCTGCTACCGGGCTTTGCAATGGGGGAGAGAGGAGGGTTCTGGGGCCGGCGGGACCGAGCCCTGCTGTGGTGCGTGCTGGGGGCGGTGTGGGAGGCGGCGTGGGGGCAGCTGCGCTACTCGGTCCCCGAGGAGCTGCCGAAGGGCTCGTTCGTGGGCGACGTGGCCAAGGACCTGGGGCTGCAGCTGCCTGCGCTTCACGACCGCGGTGCTCGGATTATGCAAGAAGGTAAGCGGAAATATTTCGCTCTGAACGCAAAGACCGGCCATTTGTATGTAAATGAACGAATCGACCGGGAAGAACACTGTGGACGAAAACCAGACTGCATATTAAAATCAGAAATTCTTCTTCAGGGACAGATGAAAATATATAAGGTGGCTATTGAGGTTACTGATATTAATGATAATACTCCCGTCTTTCAACTCAGTGAATTCGTTCTGAAAGCGAGTGAAAATGCAGTGAAAGGCTCGCGCTACCTCCTACCCAAAGCCCACGATCCCGATATACAGCAGAACACTGTACAGGCTTACGAACTAAGCGATAACAAACATTTCTCCCTGGAAGTGCAAATGGGACCCGACGGAGCGTCCCGAGCTGGTGCTGGCGAAGGCGCTGGACCGGGAGGAGGCGGCGTTTCACGAGCTGGTGCTGAGGGCGATGGACGGCGGAGAGCCGGCGCGGACGGGCACGGCGCGAATTCGTGTGGCCGTGCTGGACGCGAACGACAACGCGCCTGTGTTCAGTCGGGCGGAGTACACGGTGCGTGTGCCGGAAGACGTGCCCGTGGGATCAGTGCTGCTCACCGTGAACGCTACAGACGCCGATGACGGAATTAATTCAGAGATCATTTATTCCTTCACAGAAATGACAAGCAAAGCGTCTTCTCTTTTCCATCTCGATCCCAAGACAGGGGAACTAATAATTCTCTGCGACCTGGACTATGAGGAGGATGAAAGTTATGAGGTAGAGATACAGGCGCAGGATGGGGCTGGGCTATCGGTCCGGGGAAAAATCTTGGTGCATATTGACGACACGAACGACAACGCGCCCGAGATCACAGTATCAAGTAGCATAACAGATATTTCTGAAGATGCGCCGGCGGGAACAGTTGTCGCTCTTCTGAGAGTCAGGGACCGGGATTCGGGCGAGAACGGGGAGATCAGCGTGTCCCTGTCGGACAGTCTGCCGTTCCACCTGGAGAAGTCGTTGGAGGACTATTACCGCGTGGTGACGGCGAGAGAGCTGGACCGGGAGGAGGTGTCGGAGTA